ATTTAAATGAAAGTAAGAAGGCCTGTTGTGAATATAGAAGATCTTTGAGTTCAGCTCATGAAAAATCTGAGCAAAAACAAAAGTGCTGCGTTTATATTTTTGTTCAGTGTATTCTGTGTTATCCAGGCCCTCTCTCAGCCTGATGTCTTATCTTGAACAGCTTTACATCTTTGCATCTCCTGCACCCCAATCCCCTAATTTCTCATTACTGAACTTAGTGACCCCGAAAGGAAGAAGCAGGTTATGATAATGGGTGGATGGACTTTCATTTCACTCTAAAGAGGAAGTGAAAACAACAAGGAGGAACTTAAACGTTCTGAATGGCCTCAGCATATTTTTTGTTCAACTTATAATAACTCATTCTTATGAAAACTGAGGACTGCATCAGCAAAACCTGTTTAGGACCACCTCCTAAATGCTGAAAGGAACAGTCCAGGATGCAGAGTGGTTTGGAAGATGGTTATTTAATGTAATTTGCTGTTTTTCTTTTATATCCTCCAGACTGAGACGTAAATGATCGATGCAAATTTTAACTTTAATGATAAGAAGTCCTCATAAAACACTGAAGTCACTTGAGCAGCAGCATTTCAGTAAAGGAAGCAGAGCTGTGTTCACAAGTCTTGAACAACAGGAGTCTTGAAAAATATTTTCCAAACATACAAAAAATAAATCACCTGCCTTTAAGGTTTTAAAAAACTGTTTGGGAATAATAATTTAGATTATTGTTCTTCTGCACGAACTGTTACACTTCATCTACGAGCTGTCAGGATGTAACAAAAGTTGGAAAGTCTTAACCCTAAATGTTGTACTAAAAAGGGTCTATAAAAGGTTCATTGTTAATAAAGAAAACTGTCATTTTTATTTACAGTGATAGTGTAAATACAGAACTGAGGCGTTTCGCACGAGTGGGCCCAGTATATAACAAAAAAGTTCTTAACTTTACTAATATAGTCTGTGTAATATTTGTTGCATTCAGGACAAACTGGACTTTATTTAATTTTGCAGACATTTAATGTTCAAAAGGACAAAACAACACGTATTATAAAAAAATGACCTCACTGCGTCTAAAACGACTTACGCATTTAAGGGTGAAGCTGATCTTCACGTAAAAGTGTATGAGAGCTTGACTTTGCAAGAGAAGTGAAAACAACAAGATAATTGTTGATAATCAGGCTTGCGATTGGTTTCTCAGCCTTTGTTTTAATCTTCCACTAACAAAAACAAAAACATAAAATAAAAGAATGCAATAACTTGTACTTTTGTTTGATTTTCTATTCCTCAACAAAACTTGTGCATAAGTCTCTGACAAGTTGCAACAGACATAAAATTTACTTGTGCTCAACCAAAATGTATTCAGTATCCTGTACCCTGACTTGCAAAACAAGTGGAAATGTTAAATTGTACAGTCACATTAAACAGAGTTTTCAAACGTTCACATTGGACACTGAATACCACAGCTTAGCTGGACTTCATGTTGTTCACCAGTGAACATGGCAGCCGGCCACACACAGGCATTCTGCACAACCCACTTCAGAAAAACACAATCCTATTAAAATACTGACTGATTGGCACTTAAACATAAACATACCTGCATATTTTATCAAATCATGTAGATATTTATCTATTATCAGAACAAACTTGTTCCCATTGTTATCCCTATTGGATTTCCAGTCCATTTCAAGCTCAAAACAGAAAGTACCAAGACGCATCAGGTCAAAATCTTAGAAAAACCTGGTTTTGATGTGCACAACACTGCCTCTTTGTGACCAAAATGTGTAACCACACCTACCGCTGCATTAGATTGCAATGAGTACAATGAACATGCAAAACTGTAAAAGGTATAACTAACATGGCAGCTCACACTACTAAAACTCCTCACAAATCTACAACAACCGACAAATGATTGACTAAAGGCTGATATGGTGCAGTTGTCATGTGTGGTGGCTTGGATGGAACAGAGGAGGAAGTAGTTTGATATAATCATCATCATCATCATCATCCTATGATTAACTCTGCTTAAGCAATCCTCCAGCTACGGGAAAAGAAACCAGTCAGTTCTGGTGACTGCATTTACCTTTTTCTGTAATCGTTACAGAAGCAGGCATTCCTGTCTGCACGTAGGGATCTCCTTGTGAAATAATTTTGCTATTTCAACAATATTATAT